CCCAGACCTCGGGCATGCGCAGGAACCCCACCGCGCATGCCCAGAGGGGTGGGCGCGGACATCCTGCTAGTTCCTTCAAACCGCCACGTCTTGGAGGTCGAGGGTGGCCATCCAGATGTTTCTCTGCAGGAGTAGCATAATCTGCTGCAAGGACACCATGCGGAAGCGGTGGTAGGTCACATTGCAGTTCAACACTCTTAGGTCTAAAATTGGTCAAACGCCTCCATCTCGCTTTGGAACTGTAAAATAGCGGGAATAGAATCCCTTCCCTTGCAGATGAGGGGACACCGACTTGATGGCTCCCTTGTGCAGAACGACGGACACCTCCTCTAAGAGGAGTGGGGAATCGGGTGTGGAGACGACGACAGGAGTAATGGGGTTTTGGTGGAATTGGATATGGTAGCCTCCGGTAAAGATGGACAGCACCCACTCGTCCGTGGTGATATGATGCCAGGTGTGAAGAAAAGGAGATAGACGGGTTTGAGCTGACTCGGTGGGAAGGAAGTCAAAAGCCCTGTTTGGAGGACTTCACCTGCTTAGTGCGGGAAGATTGTTGTCTGGATCCAAACCTGGGTTTTTGAAAGGTGGGTTTTTGGCCTCCCGAAGACGTACGTGGTCTCCATTGTCTGTCAGGAGACTGACGATTCGGAGTGCACTTTTGCCAGGGCCGAGACCAAGTGCGAGGGTGATATTGTTGCCTCGTGGAGGATGACACTCCTAGAGTGCAAGAAGCCTTTATGCTCTTATCCATATCTTGGAGTATGCTATCGGTAGTGCTGCTGAAGAGACCAAGGCCATCGAAGGAGAGGTCTTCGACATAAGACCTAGTATCTTGTGGCAGATTGGTATTACAGAGCCAGGTGTTGTGGGGAGGGGAAGGGAAAGGAGTTTGTAAGCCGCTCTGAGACATTTTTGGGTAGTGAAGGGCGGGGTATAAATCCAATCTCTTCTTCTCTTCTTCTTCTTCACACCCATGGGATCTAGTGCACACGCGCTGGATCGATCGGCATTGTAGCAAGCTCTTAACGGATTTTCGTGCCCAGACCTCGGGCATGCGCAGGAACCCCACCGCGCATGCCCAGAGGGGTGGGCGCGGACATCCTGCTAGTTCCTTCAAACCGCCACGTCTTGGAGGTCGAGGGTGGCCATCCAGATGTTTCTCTGCAGGAGTAGCATAATCTGCTGCAAGGACACCATGCGGAAGCGGTGGTAGGTCACATTGCAGTTCAACACTCTTAG